GGAGTGATCTGGGAGCGGGGACAGGTCAGGGCCAGCCGGGCTGGTGGGCGTGGTGGGCACAGCAGGCGCCCTCTGGGGCTGCCTACCTTGACCTTGCCGAAGTCCAGCTGTGTCTGCAGCGTGTACATCTGCTCCATGCGCTCCATCTTGTGGGCCCCCTCATTGCACTGCTTCACCAGCTGCAGGGCGTGGGCAGGGAGGTGGCTGGGCTGCGGGCCCCACCGGCCCAGGTCGCCGCCCTCCTGGCTGTCCTAGCCCTACCTTGCCAGGAGCTCCATGGCTGTGTGCGAGCTCCACTCCCTCTAGGCCTGTTTCCCCCCTGGTACCATGAAAAGCTTGGGGTGGACAATCTTCAAACGCTTCCTGCCAGGCCCTCGGGGTCTCTATCGGGGGTGGGGTCCCCTCTCACCTTGTTCATGGCTTTGAACGCGCGGCTGGCGGCCTTGTACCTCTCGGGGTGGCCCTGGGTCTTGAGGCAGAGTGTCTGCAGGGGAGACACCAGGTGTGAGCGAGCACCAGGCACCCTCCGCCCCAGGCTTAGTGGCCCGCGTTGGGGAGGCTCCCTCACACCAGACCCAGGTGGGGCCAGGGAGGTCGGGGCTCCTGGCAGGCCCCACTGGGGGACACAGCCCCCAATCGGCTCAGCCAGGTCAGGCCGGTTGCGGGGGGGACTTGGAGTGAGTGCCCCCAGGACCCTGCCCCTTCCAATCCTGGCCACCCTCGTCCAGCCAGGGGGCCCCACAGCCTCTATTCCTACTCTTCCCAGAATGCCTGTCCCATCTCGCTTGCACAGGTGACCGCCTAGCACAGGGCCACATGCTGCCTCCAGGAGCTTAGCTGGGCTCCTGCCACGTGTGTCCACATGTGCATGCATGTGCCTTTCACCCTCACATGCCCCTCTGCCCCCTGAGCCAACATCTCAGAAACGCAAGCCACTCCAGGGAGCCCCTCCGAGCCCCTCTCCCCGCGCCCGGGACAACTGGCCGAGGGGCGTGAGGCAGGAGGTGCCGATGGCCCAGGACCATCTGGGTGACGTGGGGTAAGACGCATCCACATGCCCGTCATGTAAAGTGCAGGACCAGGTCCTGGCAGAGACAGTTCTACGGGCAACGGAGACGATGCCGGGACCACGTCACCATGGCGACTAAAGCCCTATCACCCTCCTCATCATGGGTGATGGGTGGAGGAGGAGGTCCCAAGGGAGCAACGCCGGGTCCGAGAGTGAGACCGGAGCCCAGGCGCCTCCGTCCCCCGCCGGGCCCAGGCTGGTGCTCACGTCGGTCAGGAGGGGCAGCCGGGTGACCCGCTGCATGGGGAGGATGAGGAAGGAGATCATGGGCAGGCCGCCGCACGCCGGCCGCCTCTCGATCTCCCGGAGGGCGTCTCGGAAGGCGGGGTTGCTGCTCCTGCAGGTACC